CCCCCCCCCCCCACCGGTGTAGAATCATCGAGTCGTCGAGGGAGAATTCGAGACATCGCGTCACGATCGAACGCTCGCTTTCCTCGATTCTAGGGTTCGATTAAAGGGGCAGGGGTGTTCCGTGGATCGGCCAGTTTCACTTTCCATTCGAAACTTTCCTCGCTAGTCGCAGTGACCACGCGTGCACGTGTACCCAGGGATTCCATCGACGACACGCGAAATCGGATGGTAGGGCCGCGACCCAGTTCTCTCGCTGCCAACACGCCCCTGCCAAATCGATGCTCTTGATCGCCCCTTGCCGTCCACGTGTCCTCGTAATTTGCACCGACGTGCAGCTCGTTGCTTTCCGACCCACATCCACTTTCCGTCCGAATTAACCGGGTGCTCGAGGAACGCGCAGATCCCTGCGAACGTGACTCCATCGATCTTCGCGTTTCTTTCGTTCATATCGAGCGTATTATTTTTCCTATCCTATCGGATGCTCTCGTTGCCACACGGGGTTAGAACCTACTTAGGCGTATTAGGACGAGCGTGTTTCGATGCTGGCATAGGGGGCGAGCGATTATCTAGGAGGTGGGGAACTGGCATGGAATCGGTAATGCGAGTACGAAGATCCATTCGTGGAATATTGGGAATCAAATTTTATTCCGAAGATATTGGGAATATTTCGAATAAATTCTTGGAATCGAGTCTCATTTGAATATTTCGAATAAATTATTTATCGATCGAATTTTATTTGCAATTTAACGCGATTCTGGCGTAACTAATTGGTGGTCAGCTTTGTGTCTTCGACAGGGCCGAAACACCTATCGTAAATATGACTGGTCTGCCTTGGTACCGCCTGTTCGTGTCATTGAATCATTGCACGGTCATATTTATTTGTCATTCGGGTCCTTCGAATAACGAATAACGTTGTGTCTGAATAAATTTTGCGAATAACTAGTTTATTCACGAAGAAGGAAACACTTTTTTCGAATAAAATTGCTATTCCTAAATAAAGAATAATTTTTCTTCGAATAAAATTGTTTTTTATTAGACACAAATCGTTTGTCATAAATTATTAACGAATATTCTTTTTCTAGAATAAAATCGTTAATTTTTACGAATAAATACGAGGGATTTATTATAAATAATAAATAAGTTTTATTCGAATAATATCGTTTGCCATAAATTATTCATAAGCGAATATTTTCTTCACGAATAAAATAGTTAATTTTCACGAATAAATCCTAGGGATTTATTTCTTATTCGTTATTCGTTACCTGGACACATTTCGCCGAAGGACTGCGATGGAGGCACCGGAAACTTTAGCAACGATCCACGGGTAACCTTCAATTACCTCCGTTGCGCGTTCGTTAAGCAACCCCGATGGATTCTTAGGTTATGTATATACGATTTCGATCCACGCGTGCCTCACGGGAACTCCCCCGTGGCGTACGGTTGGAAACGCACGAGCATTATTCTAATTAACGTTTAGGGAATCGCGCACGTGGCTACACGTTCGTTAGAATCATTAATCGACGTCGTTAGCTCGGCAACGTTCTCCCGCACCGAGAGCACTCAAGCGAGACCACGTATCGCGCCTTATAATTCGTATCACATATTTCATTTTTCCACGATTAACCGATTCTACGCGATGAGCCCGTTATTCGCGGCAGCGGTGCGAAGTGGAACTAAACTAGCGGAAAATGTAAATAAACAAATTCGGAATGTATACACACGAACGCGTCGTACAAGCGAACAAAGGTGCGTAGAAATATTGGGAATCTGAATAGAGGAATCTTTTTCTAGGTTAGGTGTCGGTAAGGGAAAATCGGATTTCTCTTCTTTTCCATAATAAAGGCCGATTTAACTTTTGCGCTTCGACCCACTTCGTCCGTACCCAACCACAGTCACTTGACTCACGAATCGCACACTTCGTGCTCGTCCGTCGAACAGCCAGCAATTCTTACGCAATCGAGCCGCACGCGACTTCGACCGAGGCTGAAAGTGAGAGACTCCCTTCATACGAAAGATCGTCATGGGAGAGAAACTCGTGCCTTTGTGTCTGACCGGAACGGTCCTATTTCCCTGTCGCGACTTTTAATCGAGTAGTGGACGTGGAGTATTCGAAAGTACTTTTTCTATCGTGATACTGGGTCTTTTGTTTCTTTGCGAAGAAATTTTTACAGCTGGTGCAGGCTACGATGAACAATTTGCTTCGAGTAGTTTCTTATTTCGTTTGACAACGATGGAGAGCGTGGATAATTTTGTTAATTAGAAAGCAGTTCGAATTCGAATATAAGCAGCTTTATCAGCGCCTAGCTCGGTACTTTCGCGAACTTCTATGCACGGGAACGGTCGGTAAGGAAGGCACACGAATTTAACGATGGTCGGTATAATTATTTTTATGAACTAAAAATTGGAGCATGTGAAAAAGAAATCGAATAGGTGTAAATCTAATCAATGAGTCGAAAGTGTGTTATACTGTACTTATAAGATGATAGTGTAATGATTGTGTAACAAATTGCGATTAACCAACTGTGGGAAACGATGTCAACTGTAGCTACGACAGGTCAACTGAAAAGGGACTATCAACGATAAGGCTCAATTTTCAATAAATCAGATAATGACAAGATTTCAATTCGAGATAAGTGGCGCCATGGCCGGAAATTTAAATTTCAATCTTGCTATTCTACTACTGCGGTCGTAATGGGACTTTGAAAGAGAGAAATACCTGGCAAATCGCCTTCATTGCAGCCTACAATTCAAATTCTCATTAGTAACCATTCGTTGATAGTGAAAATGGTGAATTATGCTAACGGTATGAAGTTACATTGCATTCGTGTAATTGAGATCCCTTTTTTGCTATAGTAACATCGCTTGGGATACCTCGCGTGTCTTCAGGTCATTTCTCAAACCATAATTCATGAGATGGGAAAGGATAATACAATGTTATAAGCTTCATATATGGTTAGAGAGATCGCCGTTTAATTAAAGCAATCCTAATTGTATATTTATGCCTTATATATATTAATTAAAACACGATTACACGATAGTAGTATCTGTAATGGAATACCAGAATGGAATACCTCTTTTACACCTATTAGCTTCGAGAATAATAGATGTTACCTCATTAAGCTTAAAAAGGAAGTTACTCGTCTAGGAATTTCACGGGTCAATTGATATAGCGTCCGTATCCAAATCTAACGATCCCAAGTTCGAATCTCGCACTCCTCGATTTCTCGAATGTTTTCTCACAATGTCATTTTTCTTCCGAAAATCTTGTTCTATCATTCAATAAATTCCCAAACGAGAATGACAAACCAAAAACAGAAACAAAAATTCTTCCGATGAAAAAAAAAAACAAAATGAAAATAAATCTCACCAATTTTCCCTAGCTATCACGAAAACATATATATCCATAAATTTCCTAGGAAAGAACACACATCTTTCGTATCTACTACATAAAAAGAAGCACTCTCTCCTGTGAACGGGTGCGTGTGTAGTCGGAAAAAATTGGCATTCCTCACGTGTAACAACAACAAAAGCACAAAAAGGTGTGAATACCAAAAAAGGAAATGGTATGAAAAAACCATTCACGGTCCGTGATTATCGCGTGTCGATTGTGAAATCTCGATAAAACGGGTCGTGGTTAATACGATTCTATATTTTCTCTCCGGACAATGCCACTGTCCTCTGATTACGTGTGTCTTTAGGGAATTGTTCACCGTGTTTTCGATTACGATCGCAACAACAGCACGATTCCCTCCGATATAGTCCACGACCGTCAAAGTCCTCCAATCTTCCACGCCTATAACTTTCCGGTATTTTTCAGGAAGACCGTAAACGTGTCTTCCAACGACGTCCATGTTTGCAACTTGAGCCATTTAATTTCTCTCCTTGGATACGCTCGATTTAGAACACGTTACCGGCAAATAACTTTTACTCTTACTACAGCGTGAAAATTGGTTTATAAACCTTGACACCCGGTACATAAAACCGTTTCCAACTAGTTAGGTTAATTCAGCGTCCTAATTCAATTTCACAGTAGCTGATTTTTATTACACTCTCGTTTCGAGAGTAATCTTCGTTACTTTTCGAATGAAAAATTTGTTTTTCCAAAAATAGCACCTCATATAATAGACACGAAACAACAAATAGATTTAAACTTTTCGATAAGTTATAAATCGTAAATGAATTAAAAAATTTAAATTAGAAATTCAATTTCTAGTTTCGAATTCCGAAATGGATGAATGGAAGACGATAGCAGGAGATCACTCGCTTTCATTCGATGCGTGACTCGCATACAGATCGGATGACCGTCATTCTCGGGGTATTTTCAAGGTCGCGATGTTCGAGAAAAGCGATGTGGCAAAAAGGCGCGAAAGATCGACCCCGGTCGAGTGTCCCTCCGTTTAAGGTTGCTCCGATCAAGAGTCAGGTTCCTCAGACCGATACCTCTTGACCGTGATATCACCTGGATGAGTTTCACTCTCGACAAGAGTCGCGAAAGCGAACTCCCTCTCGATGAATCCCTAGACCTGCGCAGCATCTTGGACAGAGAAACGCGTGTATAAAAGCTGGTAAATCCACGGGATCGATTTACTTCTGTCTAGTCTGGATCGCGTATCGTAGAACCCCTCAGCCCTGAAGGCGTACAGTTTGCCTGCAGGATGGGACACACGGTACGTGTCGAAGTGGTAGACACTTCGTTTCACGTTGAAGTGGCTCGATATGGTGCGACGGTGTTGGAAAGTGGACGTGGAAAATCTAACTTCTGCGAAGACAAAGAGGACTGATCTTTTCCATTCTGTTCCATTTTTAGAGAAACACGGCGATCCTGCTGATAGTCCTCGTGGCAATAGTATTCGACGACTCGACAGCTAGTCAGAAGCAAAGTTCCAATTCCGAGAAGGGATATCGAGTTATAAAACCGCAGAGGCACTTTAAGGCGAGAGATCATCGCGCTACAGAAGGAAGGACGAGTGTCGTGGAGAGCAAGGATAGTGGTTCAAGGTCGCCAGGATCGGCCGAAGACACTCGTGTGTAATTTGTCGTGTAAGAATCCTCTTAAATTCTTAGACGAGTACTAATTTAACGAGATCGTTACAGATGGCTCCTACAAGGTTCACGAAGACCAGGAGGAAGAAGCTGTACAGTCGAAAGAGGTTGTCCCCATGGACGACAATGTCGAAGAGAAGGGAAATTCAAATGCTGGAACGATTTACCTAGTAAAACACAATGGAGGCAGAGTGCCGACCGGAGTACCCCGCAAAGGCCAAATTCTAGGTCACCATGTCCACGAAGACGTGCACAAGTTCATAACAGTGATAAGAAAGGTAGCGGCACCCTATCCGGTAGAAAAGACGATAAGGTACCCCGTTGTGAAGAATATACTGTACCCAGTCAAGGTACCGGTACCTCAACCCTACGCGGTGGAAAAGAAGATTCCATATCCGGTGAAGATTATCGTCAAAGTCCCGCTTAAAATACCGAAACCGATCCCAGTGGTCAAAGAAGTACGGTATCCAGTTCACGTACCGGTTGATCGTCCCGTAGCCGTAAAGGTCTACATACCGAAACCTTATCCGATCGAGAAGAAAGTCCACTACGAGGTTAAGGTGCCGGTACCCAAACCGTTCCCCATTGAGAGGAAGATACCCGTGCCAGTAAAAGTGCCTGTACGCGTATCTCAACCGTACCCCGTCGAAAAGGTAGTTCGCTACCCTGTAAAGATAGAGGTGGAGCAACCCGTACCGGTGCCAATACCCAAACCGTATCTCGTACCGGTATCCAAGCCGGTTCCTTACCCCGTCGATAACCCAGTACCGGTACCAGTAACAGTTCAGGTACCACGGCCAGTACCTGTTCCGGTCGATAAGCCGGTTCCTGTCGAGGTTAAAATTCCAATACCGGCGCCCTACCCCGTCGAAAAGGAAGTGCCCTACGCTATCGAGAAACCAGTGCCTGTACCGATCGAAGTGCCGGTAGATCGACCAGTACCGATACACCTGACGAAACCTGTGGCCTATCCCGTTGCGAAACCAGTTCCCTATCCTATTAAAGTACCGGTTGGGATACCGGCACAAGAGGCGTCCGGTTCTGGAAATGATTATCGTGGCTGGAAACGATGAGTGGAAGAGAAAGAAGGATGATCGGATTATCTTTTTTACTAGCGCGTTTCTTGGCGCGAAATTTGAAGAAACGAATGCTGGTTGTTGAATGCTTCTTAGTCACTATAGGATGGAAGCGTTTGTAAAAGTTCTGATTATGCTGAGTTGTCTAGGTAGCGTTATTAACGGTGGTTGATAATGCAGGAATTTTCTAATTCGTTATCTTCGAGTCGTAAAAAATTTTTTATAATAAATTTTGGTTTGTGTATTGGGAATTGATGACGATGATCTACTTACATTGTAACTATGTGCTACGAAAGTCAGTATCCTGGAATTACATTGGTCTGCAACTTGTATCGACTGTGTTACTCTTATGTAGCAACTGCGAACCCCGATAATGGCAATACGATTTAAAAATAAACGAATTTTATACAAATATAATTAATAATTTCTTTTTAATTCATTTTCGTTACCCTTAAAAAGATTAATTAATTTGTAATTTACTTAAATTTATTACGGAACTATTGAAACGTTCCTTACTTCATTTTACTGATTAAGAAGGTGAGAATCTCTGATACCAAAATGGCGACCACGTGCAGTAACCGGAAGTGGAACTAAAAAGATTTGAATTAAGCGATTATAATTCTTTTTCCACAGGAACAGCAATCTTTAAATTATCGATCTTATTCCGGTCACGATCACTTTCGCTGCAATTATTTACGCCAATGTCCCTCCTAGAAATTTGCGCAAAATCAGGCGATACAGTTTCCAAGCTTGATCGAAACTTTCCACGAAATCGCGGTAACTGGCGGAAAATGATCTAATTAAAATAAATAGGCATAAGCAACGGTGCTTGAAACCCTGGAATCGTGCGATCTATATCTAAATAATCCGATCTCGCTGTAATTTGAATATGCTAATTCAAATTACACCGGTCATTTAAATTCCCATAACGCAATTAAAAGAATAAAGATACGTTATCTAATCTTCTGCTTTTTGTCAAACTTTCTATATCGTCCATTTATACTTTAAAGATCAATTAACGATTTAATACCATCATCTGCGAACGCGTAGGTGCCTAATCTAATTGTAAAACCAGAAGAAGAAAGTGGCGCGATTTAAAATGGCAAAACGGAAGGAACTATCATACCGGTTCCAGTTTCACTTGAACTAGACCCGAGAAACTCGATGGCACGTGTGATCGACGAAGATCAACGATGAGAAAAATGGCGAGGACGCGAGAAGGCTGACCGAATGCGGTCCCGCGATAAATCCTTAGAATATTCCGCGATTGCAAAAGGAACAGTACTGAAAAAAGAAAAATGAATAAATAAAAAAAGAAAATCCAGGTCCAGTTTTGATCATGGTGAGTTTCACGATGGAGGTTCTTGAACGTTCTTTCCAAAGAGAAATAAAAACGTGCAGTGATCGATGAAGATCAACGATAAGAAAAATGACGTGGACGCGAAAAGGCTGACCGAATACGGTCTTGTGTAAATCTTTAGAATAACCCGGGATTGTGAAAGGGACAATTGTTAAAAAAAAAGAAGAAAACCCAGGTCCAGTTTTGTCGATCGCGAGTTCCGCGATGGAGGTTCTGGAACGTTCGTTCCAAAGAAGAGAAAAACGCGCAGTGGTAGTAGATCAGGGTTCGCCTGGTTTTATGATTGCACATAGAAAGTGGTCACTCGCTTTCATCTGTCAAACACAAATAGCTCCGGCGTTCTGGCGAGCTTTTCATCAGATTAATGAACCAGAACCTGACCTGGTCGCGATAGTTCATCGCCAATACACCTTCGTGATTCCCACGAGTCCTTAGACCCGCGTGAATTCGACATTTTCTCCGTACTTTCATCCTCTCTTTCACTTTTGAACAAAATATCGCTGGAATTAGACCTGTTTGCCTTTTAGAACAACATCGAGGAGTGTCTGGGAGTAATTAAAATTTGGCCGAAGCGATTAGTCCGTCTCAGAATACGGTTTCGTTCGGCCTATAGAAACGTGTGCTTCCGCGGAAACAGCTCAGCGTGGCAGAGATATTTCAAGATTTTCTACCCCGGCAATGAAATCGGTTTTACGAGCCGAATAATAAACGCCTGCGCGTTTCCGCGCTCTTGGACCCTTTCGTACTGATTCCCGTGAAAAACAATGGCCGTTTAACCATGGATAATTATCATGAGCCTGACGTTCCAAGTCTGTAAAGATCCTGCTTGCTGGGCGGGCGAAAGTCGTCCACCGCGTATAAATAATACTGAGACTGCATCCGTTTGGATTCAGTGCACCTGCATCTATCGACACGGAGACTAGGGAAACCATGGGACAACTGGTTCGTACTTTGAACCCGCGACCTTTCGATTTTCTAAAGTTAGTTACAGAGAACCGTGAGAGAACCAGGCAACCTTCTAATACCAGAATATCAGATCAAATTTACGGGGTTGCTGACATTAGCAGAGAGATAAATTATTATTAATTTAAGACGCAGGAAATTTCAAATTTATAGGACTAATCGTCAAATTTTCACACCAGGAGCAGATTATCATCGCGTTACTATGCTTCTCCATGGTCCTGACCTGCTCCGCAACGCGCAAAGAGGACCTCGAGAGGGCAGCGGAACTCGCGGTGGAGAGAGCAGCGGAGAGAGCAGCGGAGAGAGCCGTGGAAAGGGCAATAGAGGGTGGAAATACCACGACCGAGTCGAAGACAGTTCGGGAATCTTACACCAACGTGAGAAAGGTACCCCACCGCGAGGATTCCGCCTATGACGGTAGTGCTGCCTCGATGGAAGACAAAGATGAGCCGGATGACGACAGCGAGGACTGGACCACGTCCTCTGGAAGATTCAGACTAAGGTCGTTCAAAGGATGGCCGGGTAGGACCGGAAACGAAGGTTGGAAAAGGCTACCGAGGAGTGACTCACGCGCAGGATCTAGCCCATCGCGGAAATCGGATGTTCTGACGATCGAGAAAAAGATTCCGGTTCCTGTAACCATCGAGAAAAAGATACCATACCCTGTATACAATCCTATACCATACGAAGTCAAAGTGCCGGTACCGCAACCGTACACGATCCAGACGAAGGTACCTTACCCGGTCAAAGTGTTCGTGAACGTACCGGTCGAGGTGCCGCAGCCGTACACCGTGGAGAAGAAGGTACCATACGAGGTGAAGGTAGATCGGCCGGTACCGTACAGAGTGGAGGTGTCCGTGCCGCAGCCGTACACCGTCGAGAAGAAGATACCGATCGAGGTGAAAGTGCCGGTACCGCAGCCGTACACGGTCGATAAGGCAGTGCCCTACGCGGTGAATGTACCGGTTAAGGTACCCGAACCGTTCGAAGTGGAGAAGAAAGTGCCTGTACCGGTAAAGGTCTTGGTGGAACGACCTTACCCAGTGCCGGTACCCAAACCCTATCCCGTCGAGGTAGTCAAACCGTACCCGGTGCCTGTGGACAAGCCTTACCCAGTCGAGGTTAAGGTACCGGTGGACGCGCCGTTCGTGGTGCCAGTGGAAAGGCCAGTACCGGTGCCGGTAAAGGTGCCAGCACCGGAACCGTACACGGTGGAGAAGCCAGTCAAAGTGGAGGTACAGAAACCATATCCTGTACCGATCAAAGTGCCCGTGAACAGGCCCTACGAGGTCTACGTGACGAAGCCTGTACCGGTACCCGTAGAGAAACCGTTCCCATATTGGGTACAGGTGCCGGTACCGGTGAACCCAGACTGGAACGGAGATGGATCTCATGCGTGGAGGGACAGATTAGACCGGAGTAAAAGCGAAGAGCTTCCTCTTACAGAAGACAATGGCCGAGGTAAAACGTCCGATGGATCTCGTAGAAAATCGGGTCACGAATCGCGTAGAACGAATTCGTGATGATATGGATTATACTATAGACTATACGCTGTTATTATATCACTGTCTCTTATTTATTTCGACTGACTGACTAATTCCTCCGAGACAAAGCTGGGATCGTTATCCTCGAGGATATCACTGGTTTATAATTGCGACAAAATGGCGCCGATTTTCTGTTCAATGTAAATAAACGTGTCTTTAATACCATGTAATCCGATGATCTCGCGGTTTTATCGCTTCCAGGGTGTTTCTCTTTCATTCGATTAACTCACCGAGAGTAATTAAATGCACGACTGCGGCAGCGCGAGTTTCCCACGGAAAACTCGTTAACCGCCAGCCGATATGGATATTTCTCGAGCAGCTCTCTTTCCCAAGAGCGGGTTCTTTACGAGGAAGCGGCCGTGGCTCTCCGATTAACATCCTGCTTGAGAATTCTCTAACCGTTCTGCCGCGTACGCAACGGAATACGGAATAATAGCCGTAAAATCGCGCGAACTCCTGCGATGCGTTTTTCCTTGATCGAGAACAGAGCATAGCGAAGAAATTATCCGGCCAGCTGTTATAAAACCGCGTCTTATTCCTCTCACGATACCAGACACCCGGTTTCCGGTTGTACGGAGTGACCCGTACCAGTCAATAACGCTACATAATCGGTAGATCGGCGAATCAAAGATGGTGGTCGAGAAACTATCGCCGCTATCGTGCGTTATGGATCGAGCTACGTTTCACCTAATCTATCAACGGTATCACCGTATTTATTCATCAGCTACCCCCGTCGCCATTTCACTTTCGACGCCGCCTAATTGGTTCTTAAACTCGCAATTAATGGCCGCATACTTTTCCATCCAGCTGCTCCCATCACTCGGCTTTCCAGCTTTGTAATTACCAAGCTGCTCGATTACAAAAAAGTACATTTCGACCTGCCCGGTTTCGTAACCGTAACGCAAATTTATCCCCGATCTAAACCCGCCGAGTAACCGGCGATTTATGGCCGAGAGAATGTATGAAACCGACTGAATTTGGTAAGAGACTTTGCCTTCTCCAGACTGCAAGTCTAATGTAATTAAGGTTCATCGACGCGTTGCAACGGGCCCAGGATCTACACGATCGATCTCACGAGCCAACCGTGGCTTCATCCGTTACAGACAGCCACGGATCGCGTATCCGTGGGCCCCTCCCGGCCCAGCTACTCCCACTTTGTCGCTTTTCATTTTTTCTTTTTTCTCGCCCTTCCACCACGGGCCCTCTTCTTTCCTCGCGCTCTCTCCGTCCAACTAAGAAGGACCACGTCGCGGACCAGAGGACTGCATCGGCTATGGAAACGTCGCGCGACCTCCTGCAGCGGCCGGAAACGGAGGGGGAGTCGTCCTGACGAGAAACTTTGGGACAAGGAAGCGGCTGGAAGGAGAAAGAAACGATCGTCTGGCTCCTGACACGACGCAAGGCGGGGACGGGGATATCGCGTACGAATTCGTACAGTGGCGTAGAACTGGCGAATTTCTTGGTCAAGATTATGAATACCTAGGTTAGGAAGCATCATCGAGAAGGAAGCTAACGAAGAGTAGACAAGTAATCTTCACAGATCGTGAAAAGGGAAGCTGAGTCACCTGCTGAGAATGATTCCCGATGCACGCCAGTTGGCGATGTCCACGGTGCATTCCAGGAAGGAGGAAGTCCCGCAGAGTCGTTAGGCTAACTCGTATAGGAACATTCTCCTTGCTCGATAAAGATCAGTTTAAAAATCGGTAAATAAATCAGCCGGTTGAAACATACACCTTCTAATCTTCTATCTGGTACCCCTAACGCGATATCCGTCATTTATCTACTCGATTATCCTCGTTGTTTATACTCACAAATCACTTAAGCGTGATCCCCTAATTGCCCCGGTATTGTTATCACGCGCGTTAGATCTATTTAACTTCGTATCGATTTAATCGACGCAACGATCGCGCTGCTGGCAGCAGCGGGAGGGGGTCCTGGTTAATATCCGCGCGTCTTCCGCGCGGTGAGCGTTTCCTTTCACCCTGGAAGAGAATCCTGGCTACTGCTACGCCAGTGCAACGAGTTATGGAAGCAACAACGCGGCTGGTCGAGATTTTAAAAAATGCTATAACGTCGCGCGCGTCCAACGAGCTGCCGCTCGCCCGCTCGCTCGCTCGCGCGCGCCACGCGCGAGTGTTTCACTTTTCCGCGAACGTAGCGCGAACAGAGGGGCTCGCTAGCGACCCACGGACGGGGGAAAGCGGACTATAAAATCGGTGGCATCTTGGGGGGAAGTATCCAGTAAAGTCTGGACTTCGACCAGATATCGGAGTGCCCGTGAGACATGAAATTTTTGGTGAGTACAGAGAACCGAGTAGCGCGGAGAACTTTGAAATATTTCACGATTCTGTCGGACGCGATACGTCACGAGTGGTTCGAATTTGAGATCAGCGAAGGGAGATCGAAGTTGCCGTTTCATTTCAGATCCCTACGATATTCCTGGGCCTACTGGCCACAGCGGCCTGCGAGAAGGAAGCTACGAAGGACGCGGAGGCTCAAGAGTCTAACGTAGAAAAGAAGCAGGAGAAACGAGGGCTCAGCCACCTCGAGGGTGGCCTCGACGGTGGTGACTATGGCGGAGGGCACGAGATCGGTTTATCGGGTGGCGATGGCGGTGGATACGAAGGCGGTGGTTACGAAGGGGGCTACGGAGGCGGTGACTACGGCGGTGGTGGCTACGGCGGTGGTGGCTACGGCGGGGGTGGCTACGGCGGTGGTGGCGCCGAGGATGCTGGCAAAGTAAAGGAGATCACGATCGTGAAGAGCGTGAAGGTACCCTACCCGGTGGAGAAGAAGGTTCACTACCCGGTGGAGAAGGAAGTACCCTATCCTGTAAAGGTACCCGTGCCTCAACCGTACCCAGTGGAGAAGAAGATCCCAGTTCCGGTAAAGGTCCTGGTCAAGGTACCCGTGCACATTCCACAGCCTTACCCTGTGGAGAAGCAGATACCGTACCCTGTCCAGGTGCCCGTGGAGAGGCCAGTTCCGTACAAGGTCTACGTTCCTCAGCCGTACCCAGTGGAGAAAAAGGTCCCTTACCCCGTGAAGGTACCAGTCCCGCAACCTTACCCCGTGGAGAAGCCTGTACCTTATGCCGTGAAAGTCCTGGAGCACGTACCCCAACCATTCCCAGTCGAGAAACCCGTACCATACCCCGTGAACGTGCCCATTGAAAGACCATACCCAGTCCACATCCCCAAACCGTACCCAGTGCCGGTCGAAAAGCCGGTACCAGTGCCTGTCGAGAAGGCTGTACCCTATCCAGTCAAGGTGGCCGTGGAGAGACCAGTCGGAGTACCAGTGGAGAAGCCGGTACCTGTCGAAGTTAAGATACCCGTACCCGCGCCGTACCCAGTGGAGAAGCATATACCTGTGCCTGTCGAGAAGCCTATACCGTACGCGGTTAAGGTACCCGTGGAGAGACCAGTACCAGTTTCGGTCACGAAGCATGTACCAGTGCCTGTGGCCAAGCCTGTGCCCTACCCGATCAAGGTACCAGTACCCGTGTCGATTCATAGTCACGGCTACGAGTCCGGAGGTCTGGACGGTGGCTACGAGTCTGGGTACGGCCACCATTAGGAGGGTTAGGATCGAGAGGGCGCCACCAGCGTCCGACATCATCGATTCGACCGTACAGATTGTCGCGTCACCTTGGCTCTCCTTCCTTGGAGACCCGTTAGACATAATTTCCGACGCGATAAGGGTATATTTATTCTAACTGATCGTATTTCGGATAACACATCGCTGGTCTGAAGAACGACTTCACAGGGGCGAGTAGACGGGGTTGCGAGGTGGGCAACGGCCCACGGGGCGGTCCGTTCTTCAGCCAGTCATTCACTTAGATCGTAGTGTTTTGATACCCTTTGATACCTGAGTACCTAAGAATACACATATTGTATATGTACGATGTATTGTACAAAGTTTCTATCGGTGTACTTCGGCTGACGCGATCCAGCACGAGCTCAGTCCGACGTGCGCCCCTGTACCATGTCTTTCGCTTCTTTCTAATAAAACCAAAGAGCAAAAGTCGATGGCCTTTCAATTTGTCATTCAAACATCCACCAGACTAGACCCTAATCATCGCGAAACCCAAACGAATTTCACGACAATTCCAATTTACTCTGAAATTATTCCACTACTCCCTCCGATTATCCATTCGATTTCGGTTTAACAAACGAATTTCACAATTCCAATTTACTCTGAAATTATTCCACTACTCCCTCCGATTATCCATTCGATTTCGGTTTTCGTGCCAGATTAGCTCCTAATCGACCCAAGGCCGTGATCCACCGATTACATATTCGTCTCCTGGTTTCGCAATACCGTTTTCATTCTGCAGGAGAGCGCCCGACGCGGAACACGCGATAGCATCTTCCAATCCACTTTCGCGATGCGCGGTAACGCAACGTTACGTCCGTAACGAACGGACCGACGTTTCCCGGAAAAGTTCGAAAGTAACCAGACGGTATGCGAGAACGACCACTGGCTCCCCACGAATCCTTTAACGCGGAAGCGGCCAGGTGATTAACGCAACAAAAAGTTGGCCGGCAATTAGCCCGGCTATAGCCGAAGAAAGGGAAACTTTCATCGAACGCGTGTACACGTAACGGTACCAACGGAAGAGCCGAAAAATTCGATCGAGCATCTGGCCACGAGCAAGTGCGTCTCCTGACAGAGGACTGCTGACACGGAGAAAGCCTCTTTCTCTCGGTGCATCGATGATACGACGTCGAAACACGGAGAAGGCTTGGAATTAGGAATGATCACAGGTGAAATCGTTCCTTCGTGGATCTTAGCAGGGGAGAAATCTGAGTGCAATCGGCTTCGCATGCTTCGTCGATGATTTCCAATGGAACCTCGATTAAATTCGCGCGTGCAAATCGTGCAGAGACTTACCGGATGTACGGGATGTTCGCAGGTATGTGATACTTGGCGCCAGGATCGAAGTCGTCCTCGGATCGCAGCACTGGAGGCTTGATACCGGCGTATTGCTCCATCAGCCGGTGCCAATGGCAATTGTAGTCATCCCTGGTGATGTAACCACGGAAAACGTCCCATCTCCACCTGTCCATCGCGATGCTGAAGGGCAACATCACCAATTTGTCCATGGCCAGAGTGAACAAGTAATTGATGTCCGCTGTAGACTCATCGATATACTTGCTCCCCAAGCCTAGGGTCTGCAGATGGCGCAGGGAACCAACGCTGAGGGCCACGGCTTCACCCACGGCTTCGTGGAACCCTGTATAAACGTGTCATTAAAGCCTCCAGTTCCGTCACAAGGTAATCATTGGGGAAAGCGACAGCTACATTCAGCCAACAAACTGTCAACCAACGGATCCTTCGACAACCTCTTTCACGCTTCCAGGTTGAAAGACCTAATGGTTCTCATCATCGAATCAATGCTCTCATATAGCTCGATAATAACTCTAACTATTCGTATCCTTTATTCTTGAAATCTACCGTTTTCTAATCGAAAGCGAGCAAAGTTCGGTCAAAGGAATGAAATCTGGAATAGAGCATTGCCCCTGACCATCGAATTTTTCGTTATCTCCATTCCCGAGCTATTTACCAAAGTCCGGCTGTCTTAGCCAGGTTACCAAGCCCCATAAAGCAAACTCGCAAGGTCGCAAGCTGTTGGGGATTTATTTTCATAGCATCTACACCGCTGCTGGGCGAACGACCGGCCGACGCGGCGGTACGGTGAAAGCGCGATTATACCATAATAAAAATATTTTAACGATCTCGCGTACGGATTGGAGAGTACTTGCACATCCACTTGGACACGCCGGGCCGGTGCTCGCGCGAATCCACCTCGACCGTATCGTTCTCGCTCTCGCTTTCGCGCTATTAGCCGTAAAAGTCCCGCGTGGACCGCCTACCGGAAGTCGTGCGGACCAGCTTACGTAACGAGCGCGTGTCGTCCATCGTGCCATCGCGTGTCGTTCCGTTTTCCCTCCTTCGTCAATCTCACTCGTCCGTCGTTTGTACCTGCCCGCAAACCTCTCCGTCCAGTTCACCTTCGTTCTGTACCGACGAGGACGAAACGCGCCTAGTGCTTCGTTCAATGGCGCTCGATTTCCGGGTGATAGATCGCCGTTCGATGGATCGATTTTTGTGAAAGGAGGGAAACGGTTCGCACGATTGATTTTCCTTCTCCGATCGTTCTTGACGGGACTTTTTCGCACGGAAAAATTTGATTCATCCAGGGAGGAAGTAATCCGTCTACTGGGAAGGAAAGGCTCGCGTACCTGGATTGGCACCGTCTCTGAATTCCCGTGGTAAGCCGTTGTACCGTAAGAAATATTGTATGTGAGCCATCTCGTGATGCACCGTGATCAGGTCCTTCATGGTGACCTTGGTGCACATCTTGATTCTGTTCGAAAAGTGAAACTCGTTTGATAGATATTTCAAGAATTTAAACGCATGTTTCTTTTTGTTCTCGTAGGTCGAGTTCGACCCAGTCACCTGTAGTCTAGACGGTTGCAGAAGTCCCAAGCGGATGCCTGGCAAATTAGAGGCCTGTCTCCCGGGTCCGCGATTATGCTTCCGGCCCAGAATTCTGGAGGCATGGCGCTCAGGTTCAAGGACAGGTAAAATTCCTCGGCGATTCTGAACATCTCGATGGGCGTGTAACCCTGGAAGCATAACATCGGGGTAATTTCAATATCGGTTGCAGTCGAACAAAGGAATAGGCGCGTTGCAGGGGGTAATTAAAATTAATTAGATTCGAAAAACGCGGGAGCCTCTTATCTCGCGGTGAGAAATAAATTCATGTAGAAACGCGGCGTGAAAGTCTCTGCGCATAATTGAAAAACATTAGCAGTTATAATAACGATTACAATCGAACAGCTGAAGCACAAATGGAAAAACAGCCACGAAATCGAGAAATTAATTAATCGGGTTGCGTTTCTGCCGAAGTATGGACAATAAGCCCAGGGTTCAAAGTCCCGTTCGTCGATTTTCTCTTGAAATTAACAACGAAGGGAGCAAATCGAAAAGGAACAGAGAATTCCGATATGAAACAGGCGAGCGAAATATTGCATTTCTCGAATCTTCACTTACTTCACCGTCACTTTCGAATCGTAACAGGTTACTTTCGATTCTACTCGGAAACAATGGCCGGACTGGACTGAATTCATTACACCGTCCAAGTTAATTCCTCTGATAAGGATTATATAATGTTTCGCTCTTACCTGAGCCTGCATTTCCTGCGTCACGTCCAGATAATTTTTTCCCGGATACGGTGTCGTTATGTCGATGATGTTGGTCCACGACTGTCCCCAGATGTTGCCTGTACGTTTCAGAATTTGCAATGAGAAAAGAAATCCTCGAAAAATTATTCCATAGCAATTTCGTTAATAATATGGAAACCGTAGGGAGTTTGTGACCGTACCAAGTATGTGAGCAGGAAGTGGAGCATGAGTGCCGATTTTCTCGGGCCCATACAGGTCCCTCAACTTTCTTCGCACATACGCGTGTAACTCCTCGTACAGCGGACGTATCATTTCCCAAACTTCGTCGATATCTTGCTGCAGATTCGGTGACTCGTAAGGGAACATCCAGTACTCGGCTGCGTCCGTGAAATCTACGATAACGAAGATTCCTGTATTACCAACATCCTTTATTTCCTTAATCACCAACAATGGCGGACTGGCCAGCGAACTGTCAGAGATAGGTTAAAAACTTGAATAGTATTATATACTATTATATATAATATTTATAACAATATATAATTTATATATA